ATAATGAAATATTACAAGTTATTAGAACTATACATAATATATATCAAATTAATTTGTAATAAATTATCCATTAATTTCAATTTTACCGATTTAAATTGAACAAAACTAATGAAAATACATATTTAATAATATAGAATAAGATGATTAAGAAAATGAATTATTGTTAAAATGATAAAAACATGAATAATGTTAATTACTTATTATTTGTTATAATTCAATTAAAAATTATTTTATTATTGTATCATCATATAATACAACTAATACTAATGAATAAAATGAATACAATCAGACTTATTCATCATAGTATTCATTATTGTTATTACAATTGAATATCATGTTATATTATAAATCATTTATCATTATAACAAATTGATTAATCAAATCATACATTTAATAATTCTATTGATAATTATCATTTCTTCTTTATCATTTCTATTTGAATTATCTAATTATAAAGAATATAATCATAATATTGTAAATTAATATTATTCATCTCTCTTTTTCATATAATCAATTTATTATCATAATAATACAAATAATACAATGAATTTCAACATTATTACAATCAATTATACACCAAATTAATAATAAATAATGAGTTAGAGAAGATTTATAATGAATATTATTATCAATATCATGAAATTTGAATAAATAAATATCTATTTTGATAATAAAAAGAATAAGAGAATAAAACAAATGATAAACAGAATAAAATAGATGAATGTTATTATATTATGATAACATTCTATGATATCTTTTAAAAATATTAAAATTAATTAAATTATTTAATATTGATATTATTTGATAAACAAATAAATAATCAATTTCAATCAATTTGAATTAAATTAATTTATTATTCATAATTAATATTTGGACATTTTTCAAATGCTCCTTTTTCAATTATTATTGTATTTGGATTAATGTTAATTTCTTTTAATTTTATACTTTCTTTAAAACTTTCTGTGTTTATTTTAGTTATACTTTGTGGAAGTTCAATTCTTTGTATTTGTCCACATTATTTCATAAATCCTTTTGGAATTTCTTTAATTCCTTCATGTATTTCAATCTTTGTTAAATTTGTACATTAACCAAAACATTCATTTCCAATATCTCTTACATTTGAAGGAATAGTAATTTCTTTAATTTGACTTCCTTCAAAACATCCATTTCCTATTCGTTTGACTTCTGTTGGTATTTCATATCCATACTTTTCTCTATCTTCATTTGTATATTCAATTTCTTCAACTTCGTTATTTTCTTCTTTTAATATCATCCAAACCCAATATGGAATGTTTTGATAAATATGTATTTTCCCTGAACTTCTGATATTTATTAAACTTTTACAATTCCAAAAACTACCCCCAACATATCCAATGTCTTTATTCATTCGTATTTCTTTTAATCTTGTACATTTTGAAAAACAATTATCTCCAATATATGTAACATATTCAATATTAATTTTTATTAATGATTTACAATTATTAAAACATTTAAATGGAAGTTTATAGAGATGTGGTGTTAATTCTATTTTTGTTAAACTTGTATATCCATTAAAACATTCATCAACACATTGTTTAATATGTTCTTCAATTCTTATTTCTCTAATTTCTCTATCATAATATCTGCCTATCCAATTACATTCATTTTCTATCTTTTCTCCTTATTCTTCTTTATCTTCTTCTTCATATTTAATATTACAACAATAAATATCATCATCTATTTCTTTCATATATGTTGAATATGAAATAACTTCAACTAAAATATGATGAACTCCTTTAATTTTATTGTCATTTCTTGAATATAAAAATTGATTTGTTAATTTAGGAAAAATCTTTTTTGATTTAATACTGAATGGATTGTATTTCATCTTCTTATGAATCTCTTTGTATTTCTTGTTCACCATCATCATTTGTATATAATCCTCTTCTTTATTAATATATCTACATACATTCAGTATATTTTCGATATTTAATTTCCCTTTATTGTCTTTATATTTT